GGTCTTCAAAAGATGTTTGATGGCAATTAGCTCAAGATGACTGAGAAGCAGGGACTGAAACCAGCTAAAAATATAGTTGGTTGCTGCAGACCTCTGGTAGAGAGAGGTTTTGATGTCTTGTCTGAAGTTATGCCCCAGCTGCCCTCTGCTGTGATTTATCCAGCTACCTCTGGAGCAGGAGTGAGGTCACAAAGACTCTTTAAGTGGTCATCCTCCACCAGATCATGGGTGACCTTCGGCAGTAGCTTTCTGAAGCTATGTCTCTAGTTGATGAGATGGCAGGGTTCATGGGGGATATACCTACTTACTTTCCTAGGATACCATGGGAAGAACGCCAACCCCTAATAGTGGAAAAGGCCCTTGAAGTAGAACATAAGTGGGCAATAAATGAGTAAATGAGTTGGAAGTGTGGATACATAGAAGGACAAGTGAGATTTGCTGCAGCAACTGGTATCTCCAATGTTGGCTAATCTCGCAGAGATCTGAGCTCTAGGTCCAAAGTCAAAAAACCCACAGGCTCACCATTCACAACTGCTTTGGGGACGACCAAAATAGCCTCTACATTGTTTCCCTCCCTCTCAGGGGTATCAAACTCATTTTCACTGGGGGCCACATCAGCCTTGTGGCTGCCTTCAAAGGGCCGAATGTAACGTTAGGACTGTATAAATGTAACTAGTTCTGAACAGTTCAGTGAGAGCTCTGAGCTACTGCCAGGTAGAAACAGAGTGCAGAGCAGATAAAACAAGGAGGGCTGGATTCGGCCTGAGGGCTTTGTGTTTGCCATCTGTGCTCTAGATTCTTTCCTTCTAGTTTATCTTCTGCCCCACACCGGCTATGAATCTCGAGTCATTCATCATCATCTAGTCCCTCAGCAAGTATTTATCAAGCATTCACTATGTGCCAAAGACTGTTCTAGGCACTTGGTTACAGTACTGAAAAGAAAAACCTCTTAGAGCTGACATCATAATGGAAGAAGAGAAATAAATAATAAATAGAAAATAGTATCCCTTTCACTGAAAATACTTTTTGAATCTAATATTTTCTTCTTCCAGATTTTCCCAGGCTTTCTTTGCTTCTGTAGGTCTAATCTGACTTCCAACTCTTCTGCAGCCTCTAGCAAATCATTGCCTGTGCCTTAATTCCCTCTAAAATGACACCAACTTGCCTTAAAGAGGGAATGTTAGAAGAAATGGCTGAAGTTAATGGAAGAGAAAATCTAAGATAGCTTTGAAAATCTATTTATTCAACAAATATTTATTGAACAAATATTTATTGAGTACTTACGGCATGCCGGATGTATTGTAGACTTTGGAGATCAAGCAATAAACCCAAAGTCCCTGCCCTCATGAAGCTGACAACCTAGAGGGGGAGACAAATAATAAATGGCAAAAACATTTATAGTATATCAAGTAGTGTTAATAAGTATGAAGAAAAAGGGTTAGGCGGGTATAGAATGCTGGAGAAGGAGTGGTGGTGGTTTTATATTATATAAGGTACTCGAGGATTCTTTGATATGGTGACATTTGACAGAGACCTGACAGAGACAAGGGAGTGAGCATATGGATATCTAGAGGAAGGGTATTCTAGTCAGAGAGAACAGCAAATGTAAAGGTCCTGAGACAAGGGCATGTCTGGAATATTTGAGAACAGCAAGGAGATCAATATCACATAAACAGAGAAAGAATTGGGTGATAGAAGACATAGTCACACAGGTACTGGGCTTAGATCATATGTAAGGCTTCATAGGCTGTGATTAAGAGTTTGGCTTTTGTCCTTAGATGGGGTGACTGGAATGTTTTAAGTAAAGAATTGACGACACTATAGAGTCTAGAGTCTGAAAGATGCTATGTAAAGAATAAATTCTAGGGAGGACAGGGACAAAACCTAGAAACTGAACTGCAACAATGATCCAGGCAAGACAAATAAAGGCTTGGGTGAGGGCACAGGGGTGAGAAGAGATTGAATTTGGAGACCGTGTTGAAAGATGAGCTGATAGGATTTGATTATGTGTCAGGCTTGGGATGTGAGAGAAAGAGGATGCCTCCAAGGCATTTGGCTGGAGCCCCTGAGAGGATAGAGTTGTCATTTCCCGAGATAAATATACTACAGAAGAGCAGATTTGAGGATGTAGGTAGAAATAAAAAATTTGGTTTTGCATATAGTAAGTTTGACATGCCTATAAGACATTCAAATGGACATGTACAGTAGGCTGTTGAATATTATGTAAGCCAAAGTGCTCAGAGGACAGATCAGGACTAGAGACAACATCTTGAAAGTTGTGAAGAAATAAATAGTATTTAGAGGCATGGGACTGAATGGCAGCACTCAGGAAATGAAAGTAAATGGAGAAGAGAAAAAAGGTCTGAGTCCTGGCAGGACTGCAATATGTAGAAATAGGTAAGATGAGGAATAAATAGCAAAGGAGCTTGGGAAAGAAAAGCCAAGAGAAGGACAGTAGTGTCCCTGAAGTCGAATGCAAAAAAAAAAAAATTGTACAAGAGGAAGACAGTGATCTGAGACTGCTGAGAGGACAAGAAGAGGAGAGAATTGGGTAATAGATTTTGCAATGTGGAAATTACTTCTAATCTTGACAAGAGCAGTTTGGTGGGGTGGTGGGGGCAAAATGTGACTACAGTTGTTTCAAGAGAATGGAGGAGAGGAAGAGAAATGGGAGGAAGGAATGAATTTTGAAAAAATATTTGGAGGGATTTTGCTACAAATTGCAACAAAGAAATGGGGGAAGTTAGAAGTTAGAGAGTAATGTGGTTCAAGAAAATGTTTTTCTTTCTTTCTTAAAAAAATATTTTAGTTTTAGACAGAGGGAAAGGTAGGGAGAAAGAGAGGGATAGAAACATCGATCAGTTGCCTATCACTCATGCCCAAGTGGATTAAACCCACAACCCAGGCATGCATCTGGATTGGGAATTGAACTAACAACCTTTAGCCAACTGAGCCATATCGGTAAGGGCAAGAATGGAAATTTTTAGTAATTGAGTTGAGGAAGGAATGGTAACCATCAGTATTCACTATGCCCTTAAGATGCTCCTGTCACCTTGTATATATTACCTTTCTGAATCCTCAGAAACACCTTATTAGAATGGGTTTACAGATGAGAAAACTTAGATGCAGAGAGGCTGCGTAACTTGCCCAGGGTCACATGTAACTTGCCCGGGATTACATACCATTAGTAAATAGCAGAGCTGAACTTTGAATTTGGAGTCTACCCCCCTTTTTACTATCCCAAACAGCATGGAAATGAAGTGTGGGTTTTTTTTTTCCCTGAGAAACTGGGTATATGGTGATGGCATTAATAGGGACAAGGAAAACGTGAGAAATAGTAGGTGACAGAGGTGGGATAGTTCAGGGATCAGGAGGAGGGTGTGAAAGATGTTGGTTTGGGGCCATTATGCCCTTAATATGGAAGCAAGAACACCCAAGTGGAACTGGGTGAGAATAGTTGGAAGTTTGAAATTTGAACTCAGAAGAAAAGTCATAGGACTTGAGATGTAAATTTGGGAGTTCTCTACTAGAGGGTAAGAATTGAACTTGAAGAAGAAATCAAGATTACCAAGGGAAAGAAAATACAAGAGGAACGAGGACAGAAGCCAGGGAAGTAGCTAACCAAGGACAAAGAGGAGCTTGGAGGGAAGCAGAAAAGGAAAGGTTAAGGATGAAGGCAGTGATCTACTTTATAACAAAGTCTAAGGGTTAAAAGAGAATAGATGGTGTTAAATGCCATAAAACAATTGGAGAGTGAGCACAGAGAAGAGTTGTCCTGGCATTGCAACTCAGGTTTCCAATGCCCAGACTCTTCTTTTTTCCATTAGAAGTTTGATAGAGAACACCAGAGTGATTGCACCCATCTGCACCTCATCTGAGATGTGGTCTAGGGGGCAGTTGGTCCTTTTGTTAGGCAGGATAGTTAGTAAAACAAGGCAGGAAGGAGGAGAGATGTCTCACCCATTAAGTCAGCAGTCCTGAGCACAGCCCAATAAGATTTTGGAGCATTTCAAACATCACAAGCAATGGTAGCACAGGAGGAGGGGAGTCCTTGAAGTTCTGTGCTAGGAAAAGGAGTCTCTATAGCAATTTCAGTAAGACAAAAAGCCTTTACTGCTTGAGAAAGAAAGCTTTTGTAACTATATTGATCTCAAGGTCTAGAAGGGGGAGAAAGATGTACCTAGAAGCTAGCTAAAGTGTAGAACTCCTGAACCCTAAATAGTGGGATAGCTTTTTTGCTCAAGTGTACAAATAAATTTGCTATTTCATTTCCACTATATGTGTACAAATAAACTTGCTATTTCATTTCAACTATACGTGTTGTCTCTGGATTGAATTCTTTTCTTGAACTTGCACTGGAGGCAAGAACTGAGGAAGTGGAGAAGTCCCCACTGCTCCCACCCCACCCGCCATCTCCTCAGTAACACTTTTACCACATTTGTGATGAAAAAAGTTATGAAGATACTGCAATTGTCCAGCCCATAACTAGGTTAATGGCAGTAGACTTGTAAAGGAAAGAAGTAAGAGGAGGGTATGCTTATAAACCATTTCAAAAAAATATTGTATCATGACTTTCCCACGGTATGACAGCTAAGAAGCTCTTCAGAAAGCCAGATGCCACGAAAGTACAGTCTGGTATCTCCTCAAGGTGTCATCACTATTAACATTAGAGACTAGTAAAATGGTATTGATGCTCAGAATCCTTACAGCATCAAAAGATGTGAGAAGGGTGGCTGTACTCGGGTTTTAGACAAGAACTCCTGGACCAAACCTGGAGTTTGAATCAGAACTCACCTCCCCCAAGGAAAAGGGCATTTGCCAGACACCAAGATGGCGGGAGCGACCAGCGGGGAAGTGTCGCGATAGGAAAGTCCGCGAGGATCAAGTGACGAGAACTTGAGCCTGAGAACGTTTGCGTCAAAAGGAGGGCGGGGGCAGGAGCTCTGGTTGGGCAAGCTGGCGAGGCGGCAAAGGCAAACCGGTCTCCGAGGCAGCTTGTGGAGCGCTGAGAGCTTCCAGCTGGGATCACAGTCATGGACCACATCACGGTGCCGAAGGTAAGGAGAAGAGTTAGGTGAGGCGGGAGCCCGTAGTTACCTGTTGGTACTTAGCCCCCTCATCTCCTCTGGATGCTCTTTGACGTCCCGTTCCCCGTCTGGTTCCAGACCCGCATTGTCTCTTCTTACTTCGCACCCCCCTTTAAGGAAACTGAGTTTTTCCCTGAAGTTTTCCCCTTAGAACCCTCCTGCGGGCGGTGGCAGCGCGGAGCTAAGGTGGTTTGCGCCAACCGTTCCCCCACGCGCCGCGACCCTCGCTAGCGACACACCCCAGCCATTACTTCGCACACCCCCTTTTACACACAGTCGCTGTACTCGTCACCGCCTTTCTCGAATATCCTACATGACATTGCCTCTGGGGGCGGGTTTCTTCTTTTATCTCACGTTTCCCGACCCTTCTCTTGACTCACCTGAGCCCCTAAACCTGCTGGGGGGCTTGTGCGGACCACCGCCGCGGCCCCCGCCTCAGCTCCCTGGCATGTGTGGGTGGGTTTCGGGGGGCTACAGCCTCTCTTCAGTCCCACCCGAGCTGTGGGAAAACAAGTTCTACCAGGACCTGGCCCTGCTCAACCAGGAGCAAAAACCCCAAAAGTAGCATTCACTGCCAGGCTAGTGGGCGCCTGTTTGCGGCGAACTCCTAGTGAGAGCCACTTCGACGTCTTTTCTCTTTACGAACCCTACTCTTGCCTGCCCTCCCCAACATCAGGCACTTTCCAAATCCAACTCCCTCCGGTCAGTTTTCTTTCTGCCATCCGAGGCTGAGGATCAGAGAATAGGTCACAACTAGTCTGCTTGATTTTTGTTTTCTGTGGATCTTAAGAAACGTTTCGGAGGCTAATCGAAGTCCGCATCCAAGTCCAGTATGTTGTCATTGAAAGGGCATGGATTTTGAAGCCACGAATGCTGGTCCCCGCAACTACTAGCTGCTGACTTTGGATAAATTATCCATATTTTGCCATGTATAATGCCCTCCCCCACGTTTTTGTCTCAAACTTTCAGGAAAAAAATTTTTCGTTTCAATAATTAATTAATTAATATTTAGAAACTGAACAGATTATCACATTCCAGGGGATTGTTTTGCATGCAGATATCGTTATTGCTTTCTAGAATTACACTTTTAACACATAAATATAAATAAAAGAATTAAAAACATTTATATAGATACAGAATTTAGTACTACCCATGTACAATGCACATCCTTATTTTTTCCTCAAAAATTTGGGCAAAAAAGTGGGCATTATACATGGCAAACTATGGTATTTAACCTATTTGAATCTTTTCTCCTCTACCAAATGTGAAATTTGCTTTGCTCACTTCAGAGACTGGTTGTGAGGACTAGATAAAATAATGTGTATGTAAGCTTTTTTTTTTTTTAAGCTGGAAAAGTGTTCTGTGCACTTGTTGACTCAAGATCAAGATGCTGTCTGATGGGGAAAGCAGAAACTCCAACCTTCAAACCTCTTCTTTCCTGACATCTTTAAGCCCATTTTCTGATGATGATAACCACATCCCTTGTAGCTTCCATCCTTAACTTTTTCTTGGTCCCTTCCTTTCCAGGTCATGTTATTTAGACCCATTTCCCTGGCATAGTATAGGAAGGTGTCACCATCAAAGAAAAGGGGCTTCTGTTATCCATCCTCTTCTCCCCACTCATCTAACCCTGGGCCACACTGCCCAGTTCAAAATTAGCTTGTTTGAAATGCTCCCTTTTTCTTCCAACCTGGAGAAGAGGGGGAGGAAAAACTGTCCATGTGCTTGAATGTTATAATATTAAAATATTTAAAACATTAAAATCTCCCTTTTGGGGGATTAAGGCTATAAACTGGGCTAGCTGTATTGTAAGGGAGAAGATACCATTATTCTCCCCACATCAAAATACTAATAGCAGCTAACATATTGAGTATTCAACTATGTGGTAAGCACTGTGTTAATTGCTTTACATGAAATAGGTATCGATCCTTAAAGCAACCTATAAGGGAGGTACTATTATTATTCCCATGTTACACATGAGGAAGGTGAGACCCATGGTAGTGAAATGACTTGCCTAATAAAGATAAAAGTGCTCAATTTTGGACTGGTGGGGAGACAGAGTAGTGCTCAAGAAAATTTTAATATGCATCATGGCCAGACTTCACTTTTACTGCATGGATGGTATTTTAAATCTTGGAGTGCAAATTAAAACTCCAAATGAAAACTTAGTTCTTTAAATAAAATTGATATTATTTCTGGTGCCTGGAAGGGTTTTGAGTGCCCACAGGTGGTATGCTGCCACAGCTCTATTTTTTTCTTTTATTATTATTGTAAGTTGCTGGGAAGGATTAGGCTTGCAGTAATAGCTAGGGATGAAAATGGCCTCTCTCTTGTTAAATTACTATTTCTACAAAAGGGGGAAACTTCAGTTTTCTTCATCTAAGGTCAAAGAGATAACCATGAGCTTGTCAGTTATTAGTTCTGCCTGTCAAATACAAAAGTGGCTTTTATTTTTGGTTTTTGCTTGTACTTACTTCTATTCTTGGAAAGACTTTCAATAAAACTATACTGAAGTGTAACATATGTGTAGAAAACTTTATAGATTGTAAGTTTATACTCTGTGAATGTTCACAAACTGCACATACCCATGTAACCAGCACCCAGATCAAGAAATAGAACCTTACTAGGAGTCTTCTCATTCCTCTTCTAGTCAATACTTCTCTCAAGGGTAACCACTATTCTGACTTCTAACAGAATAGATTAGTTTGCCCTTTTTTGTACTTAATATAAATGGATTTATATGTGAATCTATATGAATTTTTTGTGTCTAGCTTATTTTGCTTGACATTATGTTTTAAAGCTTCATTCATATTATTCCTGAGAGTTATAGATAAGTCTCATTGCTATATACCATTCCATTTTGTTAACATGCCACCTGTGGTTTATACTGATTTATCCAGTCTTCTGTTGATGGGGAATTTCTAGTTCTGGCTGTTACAAAGAATATTTTCCTGATGGGTATACATATACATTTTTTGTTGGAATATACACAGGAATAGAATTTCTGGATCATAAGATATGCATACATTCAGATAGAGTAGATACTACCAATTTTTTACTCTCACCCCCTATGTGTGAGAGAGGAGTTGTCTTTTTAAGTTATAACCTTGGGATTTAACAATGATTTTTGTATCACATCAGAGCTACCCAAAGATTCAGTGACTGTCCTGTCTGAACCAGAATTTGTTCTTTGTACTTCCCCCACCCTGTCACTTTTGTGTGTCTGTTAGCACCTACAATTCTTCTGGGTGTCAGTTAGCACTGAGAATTCTTAATAACCTTTCTGTTCCAGAATGGAACCTTATTAATTAGGATTTTCAGTTAACATTGAGTTTCAGCTGGCTTGGAAATATGTACTGTAGTGATTAAAAGTATATGCTTGGAGCCAGACTGTCTGCATTCAAATCTCAACTCTTCTACTTTACTAAATTTGTGATCTTATGCCTGAAACTCTATGCCTGAGTTTCTTCATCTGTAAAATGGTGGTGATAGTAATAGTACCCATTGCACAGGGTTGTTATAAGGATTAAATGAGTTAATATTTGTAAAAGTGCTTAGACCATTGCCTGGTACATCATAGATGCTTAGTTTAGCTATCAATTACTATCATCATTATTAGTTATTAGTTACAAAACCCCACAATGGAACCTGTTAGGGTACATAGCTGTCTTATAGCAACTGCACTCTAGGATATCTCAGTCAAGTAAAGTGATGAGAGCAAGTATAAGATCCAAGAATGAAAGTGAGAACTTTCATGAGAGGGACAAATGAAATACTGTTGGAGTTTGAAGGCAAAAAAGGTTCCAGTTCTAGATGAGGTGTGAAGAGTATGAAATGAAGAAAGCTTTGTAGAAGGAGTGGCATTTAAGCTGAGTCTGAATAATAAATAGGTTTTACTCTTCTGAGATTGGGGAGGTGAGAGGAACTCCCTGCCAAGAGAAGTACAAGAGTGTAAGCTCAGGGGCAGATAATTCATTTGAGCAAGGCAGTGAGAGAGATGTTTCAAGGAATTAAGTTGGAGAGATACATTTTGTAGATTGAAGAATTTGGTTCTATAGGTAGGTTGCAGAGCTGCTAAAGTTTTGTAAGTCTACAAATGTAGAATATAAAAGCTAGAACGTTTTAAAAGATTATCTAAATGAGGATTGGAAATGCAGTTTCTTTTGGCATGATAGAAATGTTCTAAAATTATATTGTGGTGATGGATGTCCAACTATAAATTTACTTTAAAAAAATCATTGAACTGGGCACTCAAAACAAGTGGATTTTATGGTCTTGTGAGTTCAGTAAATCTGCCAATGAATGAATGAATGAATAAGTAAATAAGATCATTTGGTTATAGCCCAAACCTCTCATTTCACAGATGTGAAGGCTGAGGCCCAGCTGGCTCAAGTTTTTTGCTAAGTGAAACATTTAGCAAGTGGCAGAGCCAACATTGTCTTTTTGTTGTTTAGTATGCACGATTGGTTCAGACTGATAAATTGTGTGGAGCTAGCATTGAAACAAGAGCCATGATAGTTGGAAGTGCCAGGTGGGTATAGAATGCAATTCTGGATAATAGTAGTAATAAGTAAAAATACTTTATAGTACTTTACAAAGTGTTTTTCAATCTACCCTTTGTGCTCTCAAGATTACTATTTATGTGAGGCTTTCCTAAAAGCAGGCAATTTTTGGCTTGACTTCTAAGAAACTAAGAAACAAATTTAGTGTTCAATCATATTAAATACATTAGCCCTTGTACTTAGCATAATTGCTTCCTCTACCTTTTCATGGCTTTGATTTTCTGTTCTTATAACCTAATTATAAATCTGTCTTTTATTATAAACCACCTCAAATTAATTTAGGGAAGAGGCAGGCTCAGAATAAATCAAGATAAAACTGGGTAAAGTGTTTTTTATTGTCAAGAAAATGTGATTTCCGGAGATGAGGATAGTAGTCACCTTCCAGTTCTCTAAGAGAACTGGAAAGCC